TCATACTGACCAAACTGTCCATTTCAAATATTAATCCAGTTGATTTCATCACCTAAACATAACTTGTTAGAAATCCTAAATCCAAACTCTTCCAGGCAAATATCTCTTTTCGACACGTCCTCGCATTGTTTTTTATGTCGCAAGTCTCAAATTGAATTGCAGATGACGACGTGCCTTCATGAGGAATTGTTGTATTTTTTTCCCTCACCATTTTCGCTTTCTTCTAAAACCTGTATACATAAAAAGTCGTCATCATAATCTGCCAAACCTAAACCATACAAATATCGGCTTGTTCGGAACTTTTCATAAACATATAAAGTCTCATTCGTTTTTCAAACAATCAAAGACACATTTATGTTCTTCTCTAAGCCTTTTTAAATTATAACACAATTCATCAAACTTTATCGAAAATACTAATTTGAACTGAAAAACACCATGGATGTAAGTAGGGGAGCCAACCGCCCAACAGATCTTTGAAACATAGAAGAGAATTTAACTTTTAGACAGCCCCATATCAATTCTAACTAAACCTTACGGAAATGAAAGCAAAAATGAAGTCAAGAAAGTATATTCAGGTGAATTTGTAATAGCAGTTACCAGTCCTTAATTCCAATAACCTAAACCAACCAATCACCAAAAATCAAATTACAAAAAGAGAAAAGCAAAAGAAATTCCAAAAAAAATAAATTGATTAAATTAAGCAACACGATTGAACCCAAAAAAAACGTTAGACATACTTTGGTTAAATGATGGCTGTGCAAAAGCCTAGAAGCTAAGAGTATTGGTGGGCTCCTACAGACAAACAGCTAATGTGAAGGTTAAGACGGGAAGAGAAGAAGAAAAAAGACTGTTCCTCATGAACAAAATTGCAACCAACAATCTACTCTTAATGTATAAAAATGTTCACTTCATACCACCAAAAAAATAAAATAAAATTGCATTCAACATTATTAATATCTCAAGTTTCTAAAATAAAAGCTAATATCCTGAACAAGTGAACATATCAAAAATTCGGAAGAACAAAATCTCTAAAACAAATTATATTTCGAAGATAGCAAGAACACAAACACCTTAGCCAGAAAGCTAAACTGTAACACTTAAAACCTGAGATGTTACATGCAATTGCAAATAAAATATGGCTTGTAAATGTTACAAAACATTGCATTGCTACAAAAATGAAAGCACTGAAGAGAGGCAGATAAACCAAAGTTACAGTAGTCGATGCAGATACCAAAAGCAAACCCAAAAGGCATCAACTTTAAACTTTTAAAACTATTTGTAACCTCATAGAGCAAGGACAGACACCAATCGATGCAGATACCAAAAGCAAACTCAAAAGGCATCAACTTTAAACTTTTAAAACTATTTTTAACCTCATAGACAAGGACAGACACCAAGACATGAAGAAACAAGCAAGAATGAGCATAAAGTTAATCAAAGTTAGGCATAACAGTTCATATCAGAAAACCCAAATGAAAGAAAAAACCCACCAAAAAATTGAAATAACAGTTCATTTCGAAATAGCTTGAGAGGAGAATCTTTCTCGAGCAAACAAGGGTTTAAGACTATGATTCTTGATATCAATCAAATTACCTACTGCTGCACCTAAAATATGCCTAAAATCAATTTTCCTTTCACGGTAGTTCACAAAAACCAGCACGTAAAATAAACTACATTTCTCTTTATCAATGGCAGAACACTTCTATTTATCAATCACACAAACCAGTCCCACCAAATTGACTGGATTTCATTTCATCAACTCAACTCCATTCAACACATTCATCCAACCAAAAAAAAAAAAAAAAAAAATTGAAAAAGGAAAGTGTTTAATTACCAATGGCAGATGAGGAAGACGAAGAACAAGCGCCGAACAGGAATCCAGAAGAACAAGAGCACGAAGACGAAGAAGACGCAGATGGAAGACGAAGAAGATGGTAATGGCTGGCTGTGTGTTTTAATTTTTGAAACTTCCCCAAAATTTTTAACCTAATACGTGACTTTTTTTTTTTTTTTTTATTACAGTAGTGGACGGGCGTCCATAAGGGTGGGACGGCCATCCTTTACAGGGTGGGACGGCCGTCCTTTACTTAAGGGACGGCCGTCCAACTCTTATGGACGACCGTCCAACTCTTACGGACAACCGTCCACTATCTATGGACGTCCGTCCATTATTTTATTTTTATTTTTTAAAAGCAAAAGAATGGACGGGCGTCCATTACTTACAGACGACCGTCCACAATTTGTGGACAGCCGTCCATAGTTTTCATTTTAATTTGAAACAACAAAAGAATGGACAGACGTCCATTACTTACGGACGCCCGTCCACAGCGAAAGGACGGCCGTCCAAAGATTTTCTTTTTTGATTTGTAAAACCAAAATAATGGACGGGCGTCTATTTCTTACGGACGCCCCGTCCAAACGTAAGGGACGACCATCCACAATTGGTGGATGGGCGTCCAGAAAGTTTTTTTTTTTTAATTTTCATTTTTGGGTCAAGGACGGGCGTCTATTATTTGTGGGCGCCCGTCCAAAAGTAATAGACGACCGTCCATAATGGATGGACGATCGTCCCTAATGTTTATAAAATTTTTTTATCGTATTTTACTTATGGACCGGCGTCCTTTAAAGGGGGACGCTCGTCCATATAATATGGACGGGAGTCCATGTGAGTGAACGACTGTCCATATTTACTAGAAAAATAATTATAGAAAAATCAGGCGTGGTGTGAGTCAGGGGTACACATAGGCCGGTACAAATTTTCGGTGCAAAATATTCGGTGTCCGTAGCTTTGTTGTTTATTTATTTATATTACGCAAATTATGTTAATCTATTATATTAAAATATTTTGGATAGTGAAATTTAATACAATTTTTACTATTAGCACATTTAAAAAAAAAAAAATAATCTAAGGTTTAAAAATTGTATCGTAACTTTTCTAGAAAATGCATATCTACTATAAAAATTCCCGTGTCTCTTAGTACACAAAGAGACAATGAAAAGCGCTGGAAATGGGGGTGGAGACACCGTTGATTCGCACCAAATGTGGGGTTTATCACACTAGTGAGAAAGAGCCTGAGGACTTGGTATGTAAATCTGCTTTTCCCTAATTTTATTGTCGGTTAATTTTGAATCCCTAATTTCACCAATTTCCGAAACCCACTTCCACTTAGTTAATTAACTTCTTGTGAAAACCCAGTTTCGAATTTTCTGGTTGCATGTTTCAGTATGAAAGTGTTGAGACCCATCTGAATTTGGTAACAGAGCAAATAGTGGGCAATGTAGAAGGATATATTATGAATTTCTCGAAATTGTAATGTAAACCCTTGATGAGGAGTCTCTTGTGTGTGAATTAATAAATCAGTGTAACACAAGCACACCAAATGTGAATGGTTTATGAGTTCCTAGTTGCGGATGCAATTATATGTCTAGTCGAAAAAAGCAAAAAAAAAAGAAAAGAAAGAGGCAATGCATCTTCTAGGAAAAGAGATAAAGTTGAAATGCTTAGAGATTGATGCAAATACTCAATTATATGATGATGTCTTGGTTTAGCTCCCTATGTTTTTGCCCATGTGAACTGACTGTCATTTGTGGAAAGTTAATGTCTTCTTTGTCTTCTTCCACTATTGCTAGACTAAAGTATCGTCTTTTTCTTAGTTTCAGAGTTGAGGACCCCATGACAATTTTACTAGCCATCGTTATGAAGCCTTATGTCAGAAAATGATTGAGACTTTCATTAATGAAGATTAACTTATTAGAAGAGATCAAATTTCTCCATCTCTTTTGACTGCATTCCTGCTGACAGTACTTTTACACTAGGAAAGAAAAAATTTCAGTTCTTATGCAAGAAATTTTGATTGGAATTTTTTCCCTATAGTGTAAAATTACCGTCAGGAATGGAGATTTGGATTTTAAAGAAAATGGAGGACTACATCAAGAAATTTCAATTTGTTGGGGGGCAATCTAGAAAAGGGCATGTCAGGAATTTCTCAATAATGGGTAAATTTTCTTGAACAAACTTGGGGAGGTCACTGTTTTAATTTGAAAACTTTTGGGTGTAAGGAGAGGCTAAATTATTTGATCATTTTTTATTACCTAAGGATATTGAATCAATTGATTGGATATAAATAATTTTTCTTATGTTCATACAGAGCTCTCCTGTGTCTCTTAATATTCTTGATTAGAAATTGACTGTTAACGACGGCCATATCTTTGGTCGTCGTTATGGCCAAAGATGGCCGTCGTTTTGGCCTTTTCCGACTGTCGCGGCCACGACAGGCCATGGATCTGACATTTTCTGGCTAGATTCGTTATAGATCTGACCGGAAAAGGTCATAATGACGCGTTACGACACAGATCCGACTGGTCTGTGTCGTAACGCGATTTTCTGGCTAGATTTCAGCGGTGGTGGTCGGAATCTGGCACTGCAGGTAGTGGGAGTGTTTTTGTCATTTTATACATTAGGGTGTTTAATTAAATTAGCAAACATAGGGGTTTTTTCATAAATTTTTAAATTTTACCTTGTAATACTCCCCTATCCAATTATCTAATATTATTCTCAAAATCCTATCCAAAATAATAAACTAAACGCGCCTATAGACATTAGGGATACAAATATATAATTATATATTCTTGGTGAGAGTGAGAGGAAAAAGTAAATGAAAGCTAACGAGACATCATTGAAGATTCCATGCTGACGTTTAACATGTTATGTCATTAATAAAGCAAAATAACTGAGCATAAATGCTTATAAAAAGGGAAAAACGAAACTTTGTTTCATTAATTCAGTGAACATTCCAAATCTCTCTTTAATCTCCTTAATCTTCACGAGAGAGAAGACAAATATGTTGGTCAAAGGACGAAAATGAAAAAAATTCAAGTAGCAGGAGGAGCAATAATTCTACAAGACGGTGTCGTTTTTGATTTCAGTAAAGTCAGTTGTACAGTGCACTTTACTACTTTACTCTTCGTCTTTGTCTTTGTATAAAACAGTAAAGTTATTGTTTACTGTAGCTTTACGAATTCAGTCATCAAGTAAAGAAAATCAAACACATTTCTCTCTGTTTTTCAGTTTTGTTCGCAAACCTTAAGCTAGTTTTACAAAATAGACATGGAGAATGGTCAGGATCAGGGTAAACAATCATCAAGATCTAAGAAACGTATTACCATTCATGACTCTGCTCAGTCGGGGGATGTTGATGGGTTTCATAAGCTACTTCAGGAGAATCCATCTCTTCTCAACGAAAGAAATGCAATTGTAAGATTTTTTTTTTTTTTCTTTTAGTATTAATACATATATACACTTGAAAGAATTAGATTTTATCAGCTGGTTCTTTAAAGGGTTTTGGACAAATTAAGAAGCAAAACAAAAATTAAGTTTCTTTGTAAATTAATTAATTTAAGTACAACTAATCTGAGTGTGTATATCTTCCATTTTATGTATTCATTTTGGTTTAACTGCAGATGTTGGAGACACCCCTTCATCTTTCTGCTGGTAACAACAAGACAGAAATAGTGAAATTTCTGCTTGAATGGAAAGGAGATGACAAAGTTGACTTGGAAGCGAAAAATATGGTAAGTGAAATTTATTTGTTTTATGTTTTATTAATTTTCCGGAGAGAAATCTAGGGCCTGTTTGGTTCATTACTTTAACACTTTTTAGAATAATATTTTGAAAAAAGTTAAATTGGACGGATATTATGATGTAGAATTTGAAAATTAACAAAAATACTCTATATGTTTATTTATTTACTAAATACCCCTATAATAAAATATTAAAAGTCAACAAAAACACCCATCATCCACCCATTAAATACGGACAACCGACCACCACTGCCAGAGGGTGGCCAGAGTCGCGTATCGGCTTATGACCAGCTGGATCTTGCCTGGTCGTACGCCGATATGGCTTTTTCCTGTCAAATCCACGGTAGATCTTACCGGAAAAGGCCAAATCTACTACTAGATCTGGCCATTGACGGCCAGATCTGGCCGTATTTGGTCGTCAACGACGGCCAAAGATACGACCGTCGTTGATGGTCAACGACAACCATATCTTAGCCGTTGTTGATGACTGTTTACGGTCAAAGATCTGGTCGTTGACGGCTAGATCTTTGGCAGTAGATCTGGCTTTTTCTAGTGGATCTGGCTAGAAAAGGTTAGATCAGCGCATTATCGGCCAAATTCAGCCGGTAGTGCACCATTACACTAGATTCTGGTTAGCTTCCGACAGTGGTGGCCAGAATCTGGTAAATGTGGATTGCTTGGGTGTTTTTGTAATTTTTTAAAAAAAATTTAAGGGTGTTTAGTTAAATTAACAAATTTAGGGGATTTAAAAAAAATTAAATAATATAGAATAATATTTTGAGAATAAGCTAATTTTACTGTTTAACTTTATTGGAAAAATCAAGAATAACATTTGGAAGAGTGAAATAAACGGAGCCCTAATCACTATAAAGCCAAAAAATATGCTAGTAATGACTGCTAAGAAAAAAAAAAAAAAAAAAAAAAAGAGAGAGAGAGAGAGAAACCATCTTCCTTGAAAAACCATGTGTTATATATATTGATCTGTTGAGTTTTGCAGTGTGGAGAAACTCCATTGCATTTAGCAGCCAAGAATGGATGCAATGAAGCTGCACGGTTACTTCTTGCTCATGGTGCTCATGTTGAAGCTGAAAATATTGTAAGTGAAATTCATCTGTTTTATATTTCATTAATTTTCCGGAGAGAAATCTAAGCACTATAAAGCCAAAAGATATGCTTAAAAATATGACTGCTTTAGCAAAGAGAGGAAAACTAAAAAAACTTATCTTACTTGAAAAACCATGTGTTATATATTGATCTGTTGAGTTTTGCAGTGTGGAGAAACCGCATTGCATTTAGCAGCCAAGCATGGGTGCAGTGAAGCTGCACGATTACTTCTTGGTCATGGTGCTCTTGTTGAAGCTGAAACTGAGGTGTTTTTTAATTCTGAACAACTTTTCCCGAATAATGTGATAGTGATATATTTTTATTCAATTTATTTCCCTTTTTTACATGCAGTATGGAGCAACACCACTAAAACTTTCGGTTTTGCACTCAATTCGAACTGAAGACTGTTCAATTGTCAAGACTTTGCTCGAGAATAATGCTGATTATAATGCTAAAGATGATGTATGGATTTTGATATATATTCTAAAATAATATATATATATATATATCAGTAATTTAAGTAACTCAAAATGCAGGAGGGCATGACTGTTCTAGATCATCTTTCAAAAATCCAAGAAAGTGGGAAGTTGCGTGATGTACTTCTCTCTCATCAAGAAGAGCAACGAAAAAAAAAGGCACTTGAAGCATGCAGCAAGGAAAAAGAAACGATGGATGCCCTTGATAAAGAGCTATCATATATCGTGGGTCTGGATGAACTCAAGATGCAACTTCGGAAATGGGCAAAGAGCTTTCTTGTGGATGAGAGGCGCAAGGCCCTTGGACTGATAGTTGGCACTGAAAGACCTCCTCACATCCCATTTCAAGGATATCCTGGAACAGGTAAAAATCATTGCTGCTTAATTTGATAGATCTTTCCTTGAGGGTACTATTGTTTATAAAAACTTATAGAGTCCATCATTCAAATTGAAACAAATATCCATAAACTATATAATCAAAACTAAATGGGCAAAGGGCATTCTTTTGGATTGGGTAGTTAAATTTCTATATGATGGATTTAATTATTATCTAACATATCATTTAATTTGTTTTTAGGCTTAAAAACTGGATTTGGTAAAATTTTCATTTAGCATGTTCTTTGGTTTAATTATTTTGGTGGTAATTAATAATTTTATAGAGTATTGAGGGTCTAAGAGTAATAATTTATAGCTTTTTTTATTGGGGTTTAAATCCCAGGAAGGGTGCTTCCCCACGGTAGGCCTCCACTGGCGAAACCTTTGTCAAAGATGAATGTTGGCAGCGGAAAACTTCCTCCTATGGCATTTCCAGGAAATCCGGGAACAGGTAAAATTGTTGCTTACTTTATCTTTCCTTGAGGGTACCGGTGCATCTGGACTTTTAGATTTGAGGGACTATTGTTTATAAAAACTATTACACTCTCATCCAAATTAAAACAAAATATCATTAGACTCTATAATCCAAATAAAATGGGCAAAGGGCATTCTTTTGCATGAGAGGCACAGGGCCCTTAAACTGAAATTCAGTGGTAGAACTAGGATTTTAAGTAAGAGGGCCAAAATTTAAAAAATATATATTTTAAATTTTTTTATTATGATAATTAAAAAATTTTGCTTAATACAATTATAATTTTTCTAATATATGGTGAAGCAAATAAAAGAGATGATACTAGCATAAGGAAACATATAAAAAAATCATTATTTTCTAGTAAATTAAAGAAACTAAGTAGAATAGGATTCATAAATTAATGAAGAATTTGTCCTATATCAAAGCCTTAATTTATGAAGTTTGTATAAATGTTTTTTATTTAATATATAATCTAAAATCTTATTTAGTTTATTTTTTGGATTGATTATTTTATTGGGCAACTAAATTTGTATATGGTGGACTTAAATATAATCTAACATTTCATTTAATTTTTTTTATAGGTTTAAATATTGGATTCGGTAAATTTTCATTTAACTTGTTTTCGGGATTAACTATTTTGGGGGTAATTAGTAATTTTATAAAGTATTAATGGCCTAAGGCAATAGTTTGTATTGTTCCTCGTTCATTTTAAAATACCAGGGAGGGCACTGCCTCACCCTGGGCTTGCACTGCCTCCGCCATTGCCGAAAGTTGGCACCAGAAGACTTCCTCACATGGCATTCCTAGGAAATCCTGGAACAGGTAAAATTGCTGCTCACTTTAGCTTTCCTTGAGTTAAATCTAACATTCTTTAAATGGATTTGCCCTTTCTGTTTGTTTTAAATAGAACTTGTGTACTATCTTAATAATTTTCAAAAAAAAAAAAAAAAAGTTATCCAAATTAATATTACTCCTAACATAATATATTGTTTTCTTAAATACCAAATCAATTAAATTTTTCTTTTGTTCATATTGGATATTAGGTAAGACAATGGTGGCTCGAACCCTTGGAAGACTACTCCATAGTGCGGGAATTTTGCGTACCCCTATTGTAAAAGAAGTTCAAAGGACAGATTTAGTTGGTGAATATATTGGCCAGACTGGACCAAAGACTAGGGAAAAGGTACACTGCTTTGCTTTTCATATCACATGTTTGATGAATTCCTGGTAATTAATATACAAATGTGGCTAAACTCTTTAATAGTCATTCGATGGATCATATATCATCTCTTTTACCTTTTATATTTCAAAATGCATAATATCTTAGAAACATATTTTATGTTGTATGGTTTATTTTAACAAAAATAAAATAAAAATTCATGCACAGATCAAACAAGCCGAGGGAGGTATTCTTTTTGTGGATGAAGCTTATCGACTAATCCCTTGGGAGAGATGTGGCCGTGACTTTGGGTTAGAAGCCTTAGAAGAGATCATGTCTTGTATGGACAGTGGAAATGTTTTAGTCATATTTGCTGGGTACAATGAACCAATGCAACGTGTAATATCTTCTAATGAAGGTTTCAGCAGAAGGGTTACTAACATTTTTAAGTTTAAAGATTTGAGCTGTGAAGAATTAGCTAATCTTCTCCATATCAAGATGAGTAATCAAGCGGAGGATAACTTGTTATATGGGTTCAAATTACATTCTTCTTGTAGTGAAAATGCCATTGCAGAGCTAATAGAGAAAGAGACAACAAAAGTGCAACGTATGAAAATGAATGGAGGTTTAGTGGATATAATGCTAAATAATGGCAAGGAGAATTTGGATTTTAGGATTACTGATGATTGTGTAGAGAGTGATGAATTGCTTACGATCAAATTAGAGGATTTTGAAGCGGCTTTGAGATTTTTACCCAAATAACATCACTCTTAGTGTTTGAGTGTGACGTATAAGTCTTCTGGGTTTGTGCGTGTTTAAGAATTAAGTTAGCTTGTTTATCAGTTGAACTTTTCATTTGTATTTGCAATATAACTATTTTAAGTATTTGGGATAATAAAATCTCCACTCTTTGTTTGTCATTTCTATCTTTATTACTTAGTATTGTTTTACTTTTTCTTTAACTATTTTATTACTTAGTAGGTCTTCAAGTTCTTCAAGTAAGAAGACATCCTTTTTCTGGAGTTAACCATAGAAGTCAATAAAGATCCAGTCATTGTGATTAGTGGGAGAATGAATATCTTATGATCTGAAAAGAACATAAATTTGTTTACAACTTGAACCAATCGCTCTTGTTAAATGATTATGTGTAGATAATAATAATAATAAAAAAATTAATCTATTTTTTAAACCCCTTTGAATATAAAATTAGAACTTAAAACTCATTTTGAATTTCTATTTTTATTTTCATATATAATGAAACTCAACATTTATTAGAATAAAAAAAAGTGGTATTATTTGAGCCCTCCAAAACCTTTCAAATGATTGAATCTTAATTAAATTTATTCTTATATCCATTTTCATTTTTGAAAAAAATTAAAACTAAAATATAGAAAGAGTTTAAGTAGAAGTTTAAATAACACTGTTCAACGGAAAGTTAAAATTGGTATATCAAATAATAAGAGCCCATTAACCCATTAGTTATTGAAGTTGGTCCATCAGACAAAAAGAGTCCATTGGCCCATTAGCTTAAACCTGTTTGAGACCATCATTGGAGACAAAGAAAGAGAAAAGAAAGAGAAAGGAAAGACATTCCATCTAGTGTTTTAAAACCCAACCTAAGATGAAACTCGACAAAGTGGCTGGGTCTTGGGTCAATCGGTTTAACTAATTTGACCAGTAGGTCAAATCAATGTCCAAAGTTTGAAATCTAACAAAAATACCTTTAAAAATTCTGTAAGTCCATATAGGATTAAAATCTTGCAAAAATACCCCAAACACCACCATCGGCATTGGCAAATAGAGCCTATTTTTGGTGATGACAACACTCTCCATCACCACAAAAACACTCCCCTCACCTTCTGACCAAAACTCATCTCATCACTCCCCCGTTCACCTTCCCAATCGCCGATAACAATGGGTTTCTTCTAGCGACATAGTTATGCGATTTCTAGTCGATTCACTCACCGAAAATCATCGCCATCACCACCATTGCACTCACTATCCATTCCTCTTAAAAAACCCTAACATTCTAGCTTTTAATTATTCACGGATTAGTGTCCTAATTTTTAGGGTTTTTAATTAATAGGAAAATTTGTAACCTGACTTAGTGAAGGCCTCTGGTCCCGGTTGAACTAGTTCAACCGGCTACGTTGGGCTAGTTTTTAAAACACTGATTGGATCTTCCAGGAAAAAAACAAGAGTTGAAATGTGGAAAATCTAATGCAAATATTGGGTGATAGTGAAAAGTCAAATTCAATTTTAGGGTTCATTAGACCTTGGGGTTTTATTGAATACAATTCGCTCTCTGAGTTTTTCTAAATATTACAATTTTTCCTCATACCAATATTAGGGATAGTAATAATTTCGTGTCTAAGGTTTGAGTTAAGTATTTTCTATCTTAAATAATTTTTTAATAACGTTTTGGTCTTTGTTAGTAACAATTTATTCCTTGTCATTAGCAAGCCCTACCAAAATATTACTAAAAATTTCTATACGACTGAAGTGTTACTTTACCCAAACCTTGGGCGAAATTATTAGTTTCCGTGTAGTATTATTAGTCCAATGGCATGGCCTTCCCCTTTAGTAGTGGGAGATGCAATGAAACGGCAAGGAAATAGGGCGGAGGCACTGTTCTATTTCTTTACACCCTTGACTTTGATCAAAAGCCCAAGTGAAGGCCCAGAATTTAAAACCCATTTCACTGTCATTGCATTTGCATTCAATCAATTCTTGATTTAGTTTGTTGTTTTGATTGATCTTTTTTAAAAAAAAAAAATTCTCAATTTTTAGTATCTAATTTAACTCAGTTCGACCCATTTTTTCAAACCCACATAGATAAATCAATGAATGAATTTGTGTGAATAGTTTGAGTAAAAGATTTAAGTTGCTCTCACCTAACCCTTATGATTTAGAGTTTTTAAAATTTTAGGAATTCAGGTAGAAGTAATTATATAATCAGTGTCTCAATTACATCCAATGTTCACTGGCTATTCTTCCGGGAAAACAAAGATTAAAGTAGAAAAGGCAAGGCATCTTCTAGGAAAGAAGATAAAGTTGAAATGTTTAGAGATTAATAGAAAAACTCAATTGTATGATTTGTATGATTTTCATTCATTAAGATGAACTTTATTTGAGGAGATCAAATTTCTCCATCTCTTTTGATTGCATTCCTACCGACTATTCTTCATTAGAAAAGAAAACAAATTCAGATTCTTTCATATGAAATATGATTGAAATTTTTTCTCATAGTACAAAATTACCGTTAGGAATGAAGATTCGGATTTTAAAAAAGTAGGAGTACATCAAGAATTTTCGATTTTTTCAGGGGCAATATAGAAGGGTATTTTAGGAATTTCACAAAATAAGTTAAATTTTCTTGAATAGTCTTGGGGACGTCACTCTTTTAATTTGAAAACTTTTGGGTGTAAGGGGAGGGTGTATTATTTGATCATTATTTGTTGCCTCAAAATTATGTGTCAAAAATGTGAACCCTTATTGAGGAATTTCTTGTGTGTGAATTAATGAATCTGTGTAACAGAATCACACCAAATGCGAATGGTTTATTCGTTGCTTGTTGGGGAAGCAATTTTAAGTCTAGTAAAAAAAGAAACAAGCCAAGACATCTTCTGGGAAAAAAGATAAAGTAGAAAACTAGAAATGTTTTATATTAGGATGGCTTTCTTTAAAAATTGATGGAAAGACTCAATTATGATAACTTAGTTTATAGATTTGTATTAGGATGGCTTTCTTTAACAAGTAAACACAAATTAAACCCCTTTTCTAAAGTTGGTAAGAGAATGATTTGAATGCTTATATCAATCAGTTTGATGGTGGAGACATAAAGCCTAATCCTATTATCACACGGTTCTTCATTAGTTCCAAAATGCAAAATCTAGAAGAGAACTTTTTGAGATTAGTGTAAATCTTGTCTTTAAACTAAAATTTTACAGGTTAAATGTATAGTTCATTAATTCTACTCATAAAAACCTGACCAACAACAAAGGATTCTATTGAATGATTGAACAAAGCTAAAGACATGCTAAAACGATAGACTTAAGGAAAAAAGGAGAATGAGGGCGCTAGTTTGTTATTTATTTAATTTAATTAATTTTTTTTCTTTTGAGTAATCTAGAAACCCCTGGAACTTTTTTCGCAAACCTGAATTTGAAACTAGAATCTCTGTCGAACCTATAATCTTTGAAAAAACAATAGACTTTAGCCATATGGGTGCCAATATTTGAAAAAAAAAGAGAAACAATACTCGTTAGCCACCTGTAGGTGTGTATGAGGAGAATCGAATTTCAAATATTTTTGGAACAAACCACGGGTTTGACTTATCCGATTGTTACTTGTGAATGACTGAGGGAGCAGCACACACCTTTCCATGATTTTTCTGGAAGATGGAAAGCAGTTAACTTGGAAAATAATATAAAGCTAGATCATTTTAAGAAAAGAAAATTACTTAATTGACCAAAAATGGAGGTGAATAAAATTTATCATTTATTTAAATTGACTTCACTTCACTAATGATCACTTTCTAATTTGATGACAAAAATATTATTTTATAGACCAAATAAAGTTTTTTAATGGATTATATTGTGGTAATTTAAATATTTGGCTTAAATTTATAACACAAGTTTAGTTATCAACTCATTGCAACAATGATTTAGAAAGTGATGAGATGACATAAGAGATAATTTTATTTCAACTTCTCTCTCAAGTTCATCGAATTACTGATCTATGACCAATAATTAGTGTAGACATAAAAATGTACTGGTACGGAAGGAAGGATTGATCTTGTGAGGTTGAGGCCACTAGTAATCTGTTGTACCTGCACACTTAGAGAAACACGCGTGAAGCGACAGAAAACACCGGGGTGGTGTTTGCCGTAGGCACTTCGACGCTCAAGTCAGCAAGGGTGAAAGAGGTTAATATAGTGAGGGCTAGGGAGTAGAGGGGTTACTGGAAGTCTAGTCGGAGACTGTGACTACGGCAGTGATATAAAGCTCTCCAATAAGAACTTCGGGTGTGAAGGTGTAATATTTGCCCCTCGGTGAGAGGGCTGGCTTCTGTTTATATAGTGACTGCTTGGTCTCCCAATCTTAGAAGGAGTAGGAGTCCGAGTGTAACTCTGATGCAAACCCTAGAAAAGTTAGGGCGGTGGTGAGCTGTCTTACCTGCGTCCGAATAGCCAGGTGATCTGAACAGGAAAGTCACTTTAAGTAGGAAATTGACCAGGAACAGGAAAGTGACTTCAAATAGGAGATTGAACAGGAACAGGAAAATGATTAGTGGGGGTCGTGGGCTTTGAGCTCTCTTATAGGCCCATGAAGTGAGCTAGAATTGGGAGGCCCGTGCCCAGATGCTTTGGGGCCGACCTTATCTCGTATCAAATGGGATTAATTTGGCTTGGGCCTCTAGGACTGGGCCTGACCCTCTCTTCGTTGGTGGTCCTGTTTTCCTATTTGGGCCAAGGATGATTTTTGGCCCTAACAGTTTGTCCCCCACTCTCTGAGTTAAGAGTTTCTTAAGTCGGAGAGTAGGTAGCGCTCGAGGAAAGCTTGGTCTTCCTTCGTGGGTGAACGATCGTCGGTATGGACGATCACTGTTGCAGATGAATCTTGGTTGGACATCGTTCGACATTCATTACTGACCCAGAGTGTGTCGTCGTTGCATAGTGTGTTTGATCGGTGCGACGGGCAGAAGGGAAAAGGGAACCAGGCCCGGGACTTATGAGATCGTTCGGTATGTTCGGCCGACTAGAGAGGTGAGCTATAATATTATAGTCGGAATGTTCGCTCGTCATGCCGGGTTGACTGGATTAAAGATTGAGATTGGGGCTCGCTCGGTCAAAGTACACGGGTGATCGGACGAGATAGTGGACCTCGATCAGCTTTTCATTCGTCCTCCACGGAAGGGCGAAT